TTTTATAGAGTAATAAAAGATTTACTTTTTATTGCTTTAACTTGTGCCAAACATAGTGTCAGATACTTAGCATGTGCTTGGTAAATATTCATTAAGTCTAAGTTCTTATTTTTGGCTTAACATATAACATGTGAAATGGTTTCTATTTATGCAAAAAAACTAATGACAATATTTACTTTATCTCCTATTCCATAAGGACTTCCATCACTCACACCTTATTAGGCTTCCACTTACCTTTACTCATATTACTATTAATGACACTGTGTTCTTACTTACCTCTGCATGGAATTTGTTCCCAGTCACTTGTTAGGTCCCCAAGCAGTTTATTAAGGGACTTACTTTTTTTTCCACGAGCATACACATGTCATTTAATTATGTCATTGTGAGGCAAATTTCCTTTTTCTAGAAGCTATGATGGAATGGGAAAACTGGGAGTCAGGAGACTCATCAAAGTTCTTGCTTCTTCCCTGTGGTCCTCAGACGAGTGAGTTGCAGAGAAGCAGCTCACATTCATGTTCATTGTGTTTGCTCAATTCCCAGACTAATTATCAGAGGTACAGTCACTACATGGGACTGAAGGGGAATGCTGTCCTCCAACATTCTCTGCCAAATGCTTTATGCCTTTTACTTACTAACTAGGAATGATTTTATCTTTTCATTTATGAAGCCACAGCTCATCTTTCTTAATTATTCTATAGTTTCTGCATTCAACAGACCTCTAATATACCTTGGCACTTCAGAGGAGAGAAGGAATATAGTCCTAATTTGAGCCAAAAAGAGTGGCATCTCCCTTGGGTGGGCTCGTGGGTGGCACTGGCATCCTGTGTGCTGCTCTCACATATTCTTCCAGACTGTACGCATTCATCTCATGCCTAGTAATCGGGGAACCTGCCGCCAACACCATCACTGATCCCAACCTACCTTATTATATATTCCTTCCCTTTTCCTCCTACTTCAGACTTGTCTTACTTTTCTCAAACTAAAGGGGGAAAATCAATGTTCTAAGCACAGAATTTCAAAAATGTGGCATCATAAATCTTTCTCACTGAGAGAATTAGCATCTCTTCTAATAGGTATTAATTTAATAATAAATTCAAAAAATTGTCCCATAGCCTGATATAAAATAGAACTACAAAGTCAATTTGGGGAATATATTTAGAGTTATTGCATTCCATTTCTCTTTAAAGCCTGTTATAAGTAATTGACATTTTAAGGTTATAGAGAAACATGTATGTCTCTAAAAGAAGAGGAAATGAAAGAGGACTGACATTTATTCAATTTCTGTAGCACCTCCTTTTATTCCTGTGACAACTTAATGTGTGGGTGGTAGTGCTCTGATTTTACAATCTCAGATTTATTAAATATCCTTTCCCAAGGATACACAATTAATAAGTGCCATTTACATTTTAACTTAATTTAAGGTCGTATGTTCTCCTCTGAAATGCCATTCTCTAGAAGCTGAAAGAAGAAGGAAGGTGGAAAGTATGTATAAATAGTACCAAGAGGGGAACTATTTCACTGAGAACTGAAAGAGTTTGTATCATAAAGAAAATACTATGAAACATGAAAATAAGGAAAAGTGACATATAAAGAAACAAGCAGTAATACATTTGAGTAGGAAATCTGCTTTTAATATAGCTTCAACTTGATTTACTTGTATTTACACTGTGCCCCAAATTATTATCTACAGGCAAAGTCATCCAGAAAATTAAGGGAGGCATATGTGATAAACATAAAAATTAAAATTTAGACAGAATAAAATAAATAACATTTAGTAATTACATTAAGCATGTTTTCAATCTTGTAGTAAGCTATTTAAAATAGAACAACTATTCAAAGCGTGCTGCCAAATTTCTTCAAAATGACTTGTTTTGAAATGTTGACTAAATATCCAAAAAGTCTGTATCAACTTTAGTACAATTAAACATTCTCTTCAGACCAAAAACATAGTTTTTTTATATTCTATGTGGCTTTCTCCTTCATATTAGGACAAAAAGCATTATCCATTTGTGAACATTCAAAATAATTTTCAGAAAGTTTCCACTAGTTATATAGACTTTGTAATTTATAAATTGCTGTCACATATTTAATTTCAAAGATTAACCTATTAGGGGAAATTTAGTCTTAATATTCACATCTTACATTATAAGTATTTAATATACATTTATTTAGTATTTATTTCTATATTCACTGTTTATTTACTTAATAATATTTACTCAGTGAATTGAATGAATGATTCAAGCCTAAATCTCCATCTTCTGATTATTGAGGAAGGCCATGATTAGAAACATGGACAAATCTGTGTAATAAGTGATTTATTGGTATGGACAACCAAACACGGTACATTCAGCGACATTTCAAATGTCCACTCTGTTGTTCCTCTGTGGTAATGATAGTTTAGTGTTCCATGAACACAGTCTTCAATGCAGCATTTGCATCAGTTCCTACACATGTGCTGTAATGCATTGCTTCAGCTGATTTGTGTTGCTGTTCTTCACTGAATAAACCCGTACCTGCAGCATTTGAAGAGTGTTCTGATGTGTAAACAAATTATCTTTATTTCTAGAATTTAGACTCCTCTCTCACTTACTTTTTCTCCACCCCTCACCCCCAAACTGCTTCATTTCTTCCATTCCCACAAGCTTGGGGAATAGTGGGCTATCCCCTTACATTGAGTGCTACTTCACAGAGGGAAACCATGTAAGGCTGGACACCTAAGTCTGTTGTCGTACAAGAACAACATCATGCCAAAGTTCAGTTCAGAAACTTGAGATTAGTTACTTCTGACTCTCATTCCTTTACTGTTGACCACTCTGCCTCGCCCGACTGCCCCTATCAAAATAAAATCATCTTAATTTTGTATTCTTAACCACCATGGATATATTGCCCAGAACTTCCTACTGTATCCTATGCAACTGGAATTTGATTTGCAAACCAATTGTCCTTTAATGATATTGAAAGAACACACTCCATATCTTTTTCCCCCTCCCTTATTTGAAGTAGGTTCTTCTAGAAGACACTGCTTGTTCCTTCCTTCAGTGACCATGTGTCTTGACATGGTGCTTACACCATTAGGACGCCTTAACATTCTACTTGAAATTCTCCTTTTTATTTTTTGGGGCTTATGCCATTTGCCCTGCTGTCTGGTTTCTTTTCTTGTCATTATTATCCTACCAGTCTCTTCTGTTCTTTCATGTGGGATGCATACATTTGGTTCATTGTTTTCTTCTCTACCACAGCTCTTATTATTGAACAGGAAATTTTTAAGTGTCAGCTGAATGCCTTATCCAATGTTTTACCATTATCATTTCTTAGCCTTCTCAAATTTAGTGGCTTTCCATGGCAATGTATTTTTTTTTCTTGTCAAATGTGAAATAGCATCCAACTCTAAAATTTTAGGTTGCCATAATCTACTCTCTGTTCCAAACCCTTCCCCTTAAGATTCTCTATTTCCTATTAAACCTACATTTCAATTTTGTTTGCTACCCAAACACTTCACTACTCTTTCTTCTCCAAGTATGTCAGGCCACAACAGGCTTCATCCTTCACCCTAAAGTCCATGCCACATAGAACACTGATACTCAAAGTGTGGTCCATAAATCAGCAACACCAGCATCGGCATCTCTTGGGAACTTGTAAGAAATGCAGTTTTCATGGGCTCCACCCTACATTTACTTAAGTCAGAAATTCTGATAGTGAAGCTCACAGCAATGTTTTCAAAAGCTCTCCCAGTGATTCTGATACCCTTAAAATTTGAGAGTTGCTAATATAGAGCATTGATTCAACTGGTTTCTTACCAGAACCTTTAACATCTTTGGCTGATAAGGAAGACCCAAAGGTGAATGCATCATTATTTTGTTCACAAACCCTTCCATAAGTAAGATTTCAAAAAAAGTGTCAAGTGCTCCAGCCTTGTGAAATAAAACACTCATATTCCATATACAATCACTGCCTTCAATCCAAATGTTCTTTGTCGCTCCTATTTATCTAATTTTGAATATTGTGAAACTGTCAGATGCCCATTGCTTAATGATACTTCCAAAGATGTCTCTCTGATAACCATCCTTATTGGAGGATGGTGAGCAATGCAAACTGGCTCAATGTCAGCTGGATAAGAAAAGGTGGAGACAGAATTAGAATCCACGTGCATCTGAATACAAAACCCATGCTTTTGCTCTTCCACTGCTGAATTATATAAAGCAGCAGTTGCATCGATATGCCTTTAGTTGAAGAAGTACCTACCATTGGTCTCTATAGAATTTTTAACAGTGAGTTACATAAAAATCTATTATCAAATCACTTTGATGAATATCAGGTTAAATGGTTTTTATTATCATAGAACTCTTAAGAGCCCTGAATACCATTGGTGTGTATTGATTCCCTTATTTCATCTGCTTTTATGCTGTTTTATTTCCTCATGGTTTTAAACTTGTCCCACTAGGCACTGCTCTCTTGCCTCAGGGATGTGTTCCTAATTATATTTAGTATGCAATGTTATAGATATGGTGTGTAGGTATGTATATGCACTACTTCATGTAAATCTCATGATGACTTTAAGATGATGGCATGAAATTACAGATATTATAGCATCACAATACCATGGCATGTATCCATCCAATCCTGAATAAGCTGTGTAAAGGTAACATTCTGTGGAACTTACTTTCCTGTCTAACCCATGCTGAACATATGAAATATGGCTTTGATTTAGGTAGTAGCTTCCTGCAACCCACATAGGTATTCATGACACTATCCAGAGGGGCATTTTGCCCTAGATTTTATTTAAAAATCAATAAAAGTTTACATTGAAAATGACTAAATTATGAGAGTATACTCACTATTAAACAGTTATATGTAATTACAGCTTGCTATATACTATAAATGTAGTTTTAATATTAATTTCAATTAATCTTCACTCTAAGTTGGTTAAGTCACTAGAGAATTATGTTGAATGGATCTGTTTCCTGGTCCAGAATGTTATCTCTTTTTCTTTTGTTGTGCAGGTTCTACTGATCTTCTTCTTTGTGTTCCGTGTTCTTCTTGTCCTACTCTGGTCTACTCTGGTATGTTTGCTCAGGGCACTTTATATCCATGTCAGGTAATTATGGGAACTGTACTACAACTGCTCAGTGTTCAGGTGTTTAGAATAGATAGTCTTCAGGGCCTATAATGAGAACAAAGATTTTCCTCCAAGTACTCTGCATAATGTCTCCTTTTTTGTGTGATGTTCTGTGGGCCTCAGGCTCCTCACTGAGTCTGTACTCACTGAGCAGGTGGGATGGGGATTTTAGCCCCTTCTTCTTGGCGGGAAAATCCCTTTTAAATATATGTGAGATGAAAACATATTCCCCCACTGCAGACCACGTAGTCCGTGGCACCATTAAATATTTCCTGGAGATACAGCATCTCAGAGCAATTTCAGATCCATGGACATGAAGTCGGTCTGTGAACTGGATATATAAAGATGAGCACTTCACAGTACCTTCTCTCAAGTATGTTACAGACAGAAGCAAAGATTGAGTTTACCCTTAGCAGTGAGGGTCACAGCATATCAAAATTAGAAAGAAGTTTGGAACCATCTACTTCTTTTCCAGTATACTGCTGATTGTTTCTCTGCAAAACTTCTACCCAATCGTCATCCAGCCTCTGCCTGAGATGAGAAGTACACTATCTGCTTTGGCAGCTCATTCAATGTTGTTCTGCTCTAATGGCTCACTGACCCAATAATTCTATGTTAATAAATCACCTAAAAGTAATTTGTGCGATGCACCACTGTGTACTTATCAGAATATTATATTCATTGCACATATTTTACAATAAAACATGGGAACTGTTTTATAATAAAGTGTGGAAAACATATAAAAATGAAAAAAATACCTAATGATCAACAAGAGAATTAAAAATTTATAACAATCTATAAAATAGAATATGCATCTACTATCAAAGATGAGATATATATATATATATATATATTAACTGACCATATACACATATTTATACTATGTTAACTGGATATATCTAGCTATCTATACCTATATATACATTCTGAAGTGGAAAAATTTTTACAGTATTTTTACATAAAAAGTGAGTCAGTAAATTAAACGTAATTTATTTTTGTTATATATAACACATACACGATACTGTCTGAATGGTTACAAACAAAAATGTATCAAAAAGCTTATGCACCCCTATGTCCATCGCAGCATTATTTATAATAGCCAAGGCATGGAAACAACCTAATTGTTCATCAGTACATGGATGGAGAAAGTTCATATATATTCTTAATATGCCACATATATGCATTTCATTAAGCACATTTTGTTTTGTTTTGTTTCTCTCCTACAGGTCTGTGAAACAGGCAAAGGTTGCAAGTGGTCCTTAAGGAAATTGCAATTATTCAAATCCTTATGTATAGTTCTAATTTATTTACTATGTGTATTCATTTAAAGAATGGTTATTTTTATAATATCAATAATGAACACATACTCTTGTAACCAGGGGCTGTCTAAGTGTGTATCAGAGAACACTAACCCTGGCGAAGGATTCTGGGGTGGTCAGGATGCCTGCTGCCTCTTCACATGGTTAGTGTTCTGGGTTTAGATTACTTTATATCTAGCGATTAAGATTACTATTTGATACAGTAAATATTGCCTGATCCAAATAACTTTGCGTAAAATTTTTCGGTATTTTAACTTGTCTGGGGTTTTCTATTTCTTCTATTTTTATAATATTTTTCTCATTTTTAGATTAATAAACATTATACTTACCCACGTGTGCCAAGACATGCCACTTAGGTATCTCTGGGAGTTAGCTCCTGGGTGTCCCGACCTGCCCTGTGTGTTCTGTGCTGCAGCGAGGAGTATTCTCCATCACCACTCCTTTCTGCAGTATTGTCACTGCTCTTAGCAAAACAAATTATTGATATGTTAACTCAATAAAGCAGATCAATAGGAATGGAATGCATGCCCCAAAGCATATGCAATGAAAATTGTTTGCCCCTTTACCCAATTATTGAACAGAATTAAGACCATCCATTTTAAATTTGATATATGCTTGCTTTTGGAATGTGTTATGCATTGATGCTAAGTGAATGGATCTAAGTAAATTTATTGAGTATCTCAACTGTCTGTTGTATTTAATTGTCTTAACCTAAGTTTTTTTTCTGAACCTTTAAGATGTAACTCAATTATACAACTGACTATATAACTGTCAAAGAAACAAATGTTAAAGGAACAGAACCTGGCTAAAAAATAAACAAAGAAATTCCGATTGTATGACTGAAGTCATATTTTAAATCAAATAACACATTTTCCTACATTAACATTTTAGTCTATGTAGAAACTCATGAGACTAATTTTCATGAAAGTTATTTTATTTTATAGGTAGAAACACATTAAAGGCTTAGAAAATAGTATATTTTTTAGCAAAACAGAGAGAACACAAGAGAGTAAGTTTACAGAACCAGAACGGTCCTCCATTTAAATATCCTTACCACAAAGAACATTTCTTCAAAAGTGTCTGAGGAGCCAAATATTTGCCGTATTCATAACAGTTTTTCTCTGATGCACACTATCCCTAATTCCTGCATCTGAGCCATACTCTCCTCCAGCCACCACTTGGCCAGTTTTTGTCCTTTTCTTGTCCACTGACCTGTTCCTGGGGATAGTCACGCTACTAAGTGCCACATTAAACTCAGGAATCAGATCTGTCAGGATATCAAGTATGTATTTCAAAAAATGCTCCCAAAGACAAACAAAGCCAAACACTAATTAAAGTGGTAAGAGTAGATTTTAATCAGTGATAGACCATTACAATAGGGAAGAGGGTCCAGCATGAACTGAGCTCAGCTTCTATTCGTGCAGAGGTGACTAGATGTTCTGAAGAGTGAATGAGGGAGTAAGAATGGGGAATTGCCTGGGCTTGAACAGTGTCAAAGAAATGGAAGTTTTTTAAAAGAATGACGTTGGTCTATGGGAAACTCACCTGGTTTGCCCACTGACACTCTATCCATAACACTCTCACATTGGGATGAATGAAATCATTTGCACTGAGAGTCTGCAGTTTGTATAGGCCAAGTTCAAGATCTGGTCAAGAAGAGGACTGAGAGGGGTCAGGATAGAGTTTGACCAAACAGAGACTCTTTATCAATGTCAGTGAGGCAGGACACACACTCCGCAATCTTGGTTTCTCTTATTTGTCACCTCCAAGGACAGGACAAAGCCAGTAAACAACTAGAGCCCAAATCAGGACATTTCTTTAGATTGCTTTCCTATCTCCTGTTTCGAATGTTACAGATGAAATCTGAATCTGTTTGCACTCATCTGGGCTCTGTTACTTATTTTGCCTCTTTTTCATGTCTTAGCAAAGACCCAGAATTAGTTATTACAATTGTAGGGCTTGAAAATCCCATGGGAGAAGGGGTTCTAGAAATATTCCTCAGATTTCCTACTTTAATATCACTTTTGTATACAGATGGCTTTGGGCCCTAAGTCACGCCATGGCCCCTGGGTGTCTCTGACTGGTAGTGTCTGACCTTCTGGATATGAAGGCTGGGCACTTACTCTCCAGGGCAATGCAGTCTTAGGGGGGAAATGTACCTATGAATAGATGGTTTTTAAAAAGTGTGGTAATGTGCAATGATGAGCACATTTATAAACTAGGCTACTATGGGAGCTCAGAAGAGCATTTGTGAACCTGTCTGGGATCTGGACTTGGAAGAGTATGATTTGTGGGGGAGCCGGGAAGTCAGAGAATGGCCCATGGAAAAGATAATGCCTCAGCTGGTTCCCTGAAAACAAGATGGAGTCAAGTGAACACAGAGACAAACACAAGGGTCTTTAGGGGGAGAAAAATAATGAATCGAGTATGGACATCTGAGTGACCAAAGCGTACATGAGGATGAGAGCAAAAAACACATGGTATTTATTACTGAAGCACATAGAGTATGATGTGAGGTGGTTGGTGGTGGACAGGACAGGAAAGTGGGCATGAACTAGGCTGGGAAACATTACATATGGCATCCTGCGGTCTTCAGTGTGAGGCTGTCCTCAGAATCATAGATGTTTAAACCCCACTCTCTGGGATTAAGATGCAGCTGCTGTGAGGTGGACCTCAATCATCAGTATTTATTTAAAAGCTTTTTACTTAATTCTAATGAAAATCCAAGGATGAGAGTCATCGCCAAAGAGAGCAGCTAGTTATTTCCCAGAGTAGAAAGGGAGAGTGACACTGGCAGGTGGATAGTTAGGATAGCTGGCCTGGCAGTGGGAGGAAAATGGCAGAAGTAGGAAACATGAGGAATGGGCAAACATGGAAAATGAGAAACAAGTTAGGGAGCTATTTCACAAGTTAAAAAATAATTAAAGCTTATTTAGACTTGTTAAGGCAAATATGTTAAGAATCTAACTGGTTGGGATGTTCTGGAAGGCCAGAAAAATGTACTTTGGGTGGAGACTCAGGGAAGAGACAGCAAGGACTGTGACTATCTTCATGTGATGTCACTTCATGGTACACTAGGAGACACAGAAATCTCACTTGAGCTGATTATTGCTTCACTTCCTTTCTTTAGAAAAAAGGGAATAATGCCTCCCCAGGCCTTTGAGAATGTCAAGTTCCCCACCCTGCTTTATCTAACACTTACTCAGCAAGCGTCTGTCATACTCCCAGTATGCATCTAATACCATTTTGGACAGGGAGACTCAGAAGTAGTGGAGCAGATGCAGTTCTTGCATTCCTGGAGCTAGTGGCTGGTGTGGGCATAACACTGACAAATAAACAATCACTTACAGAGGACCTTAAGAGTGAAAGGCAGGATGTTAAAGGACCATGCCTGAGGTACATTTAATCTACATTTCAGGAAAAGAATCTTGGACTTTGGTGAATCTGCAATCAAAATGTGGAGGGTGATTCAGGTAAAACTGGGGGTGGGGGATGGTCAAGGGAAGTTAGGGATGATAATAGAGTAAGTAGCTGAAGAATATTTTGAGAGAACAGCAAGCATGTATAAAGATACAGAGCAAAGGTTAGCATGCATGTCAGGTGAACTGAACAACTGAATATTGCTGGAATATGGGGGATGCACAGCATTGTCAAGTGATGCAGATGAGAAGTTAGTAGCAGCAGAACTATTATGAGTATCATAAGGTGTATTTTATTCAGGGGCAAGTGAAACACATGGAAGAGTTTTGTGCAGGTGAATAATAAGATTTCCATTTTAGAGAGACATGTTTTTTCCTTGTGGAAAATGGATCACAAAGAGACAAGATTGGAGACTAGAGGAATGGTTAGAGCACTTCTAGTAAAATCAATATCCAAGACAGAGAAGTACTTGGATAGGAGAGCTATTTAGATGGTTGATGATTAAAGATGGGTGGGGGGAATTGCAGGTGGTAAGATTTCTGGCCAAGACACCTGGTAATGAAATCCATTTGGAATGAGGGAAAGATGTGGATGGAGTTTACTCTCTTTAGTTTAAAGAGACTGGGGACATATCCAAGACTTTGAACATCACCAACCTAAAAATGGCCAAATGGAGCATACTGGAAATGTAGGCAGTAGATAGCTTCACCCAATGAGAGCATATGCAGTGAAAAGAAGACAGAAGACTCAGGAACACATCAGTACTTAAGGGACAGAAAAAAAATGATTTCAAGAGTAAAGATTTTATGTACACTGGACAGAGTGGGTGGCCCACACACTGTTTCTGGGAAGCAGAAGGTCAAAATCAATGTACTTCAAGATCCCCAGTTCCTGTAAGCACAGCTGGATTTCAGAGGAGAGACAAGCATGGGCTCATTTGCTAAACAACCTTTAGTTGTCTAGTTTAATGAGGCTGTAGAAATTTCCTGTGGGTGGATGGAGAAAAAAGCAGCTATATGGGAGTGAGAGAGAGGATTAAGGAACACAGAGTTTTCCTAATTTATGAAAAAACTAAAGTGTGACCAATTGGGGATCTTTTAATTTGGTGTGTAGAGACATATATACCTTGAGAATTCTTTTTTCTTTGCTTAACAGTGATGAAGAGACAACTAAAATCTTCAGGAAAAGCCTTAAGAATTAGTCCTGCTGCAGCATTTTTATCTTCCTTTTTTTTCCCCTCAAACTAATCAAACGTACGTCTTTGGTGGCTATGAGGAAAATAAGCATTGCCAGCTGCTGCAATGAGGCGGATGAGGCCCTCCCTGGAGGTCGAGGAGGAAGCATCCGTCATCTTCTTGGGTCTCAGGGACAGAGCTGTCCTCCTACTACAAACTGGGGCCTGCCTGCACTGTAAATGTTTGTTGGTTTTTCAACTTGCATTTGGCTCTCTTACCACTGTTCTTTCTGTTTGTTTGTTTTTTTAAGTGTCTACGGTGGTTTCTTGTCTCTTTCAGTCTTTGATGTTTATAGAACCCATCTCTGCAAAGCCAACATAAGTGGATCTGGATA